ATAGCACTTATTCCTGAGTACCATGCAGTTTTAGATTCATAACATCTGCAGCTCCAACATTCCATGCTTCCTCCATGATATTTAAGATCAAGACTTGTTTCTTTTCTCTTCCTGTCTACTGTTCTGTCCATTAAGCCAAAGTACAACTTCCTACTTTTCTTTCTTCTGGTATTCTATTCATAATAATTTTTTAAGGCAGTGTAATAACTTTGTTGCAATAAAGGGGGTAGAATGTACTGGAGCAGAGAAAGGTTGCTACAGAATTAAGCCTTCAAAGGATTTCAGCATCCCCTTCTCACTTACTCCTGGTCTTCATCAAATATCTGTTGCAACAGAGTGACTTATCCTTGCAACATTGTGTCAGTTAACAGTTTCTTTTGCAACCGTTCTCCCACCATCAGAATACTGACTAGAGAAGTGCTGAGCATATTTTTAGACAATACCTGCATTTAAATGTACCTGTCCAAAGTCTCATAAGCCTAATCCCCTCATAAGAGGCTGCTGTGCTTGATAACAGCTTCCATTATTGACAATGTAATAAGTATTTATTGATTTCCAATTATAGCAAATGCCAGTATTGGTAAGACTCTATTTTCAGGAGGAAAAACTGAGTACTTTCTCCCATTGGATTGAATCGGACAACAAAACCTTTAAAACCTTTTAACCATTGCTCACAAATTCACCAAACCAATCAAAGGCACCTTTCCTAAAGAACCCAGAATAAAATAATAGAATCATGGAAAAGTAAAGTTGGAAGGGACCTACAAGGCCATCAAGTAATCACCTGCTCAATGCAGGAAGACAATCAAAGCAGATCTGCCAGGTGATGATCCAAGTTTTTCTTCAATGCCTCCAGTGTTGGAGCACTCACCAACTCCTGAGGTAACTGGTTCCACTGTTGTACTGCTCTAACAGATAGGAAGTTTTTCCTGATATTCAACTGATATCTGGCTTCCTTTAACTTGAGCCAGTTGTTGCATGTCCTGCACCCTGGGATGATCGAGAACAGATCTTGCCCCTCCTCTGCATGACAGCCTTTCAAATATTTGAACAGTGCTTCTTTTCTCAAGACTAAACATGCCCAATTCTTTCAGTCTTTCCTCATAAGGTTTGGTTTCCAACCCCCTGATCATTCTTGTCCCCCTCCTCTGAACTTGTTCCAATTTGTTCTTGAAGTGTGGTGTCCAGAACGGGACACAATCCTCAAGGTGAGGCCTAACCACTGCTGAATAGAGGGAGACTAGCACCTTGTGGGATTTGGAAACTACACTTCTATTAATGCAGCCTAAAAGAGCATTTGCCTTTTTTGTAGCCACATCACACTGTTCGCTCATATTTAGCTTGTGATCTACGACAATTCCTTCTCACTCATAGTTTTGTTGAGCCAGGTATCCTCCATCTTGTAACTGTTTATTTGTTTATCTATCTCCAGCTGCAATCCTGTCCCCCCCCCCCTGCACTTTCAATTTGTTTCGAAGTTCATACTCTGTTTTATGGGAAAAGACTTAGCTAAAATGGGAATTGAGCACCTCTGTCTTTTCTTTCTCCTGTTATCATTTTTCCATCTCCATTGCGAAGTGGTGCCACTATGTCTTTTGTTTGTCTTTTGCTACTAACATACCTGAAGAATGCTTTTTTATTGCTTTCAGTGTCTCTAACTAACTTCAGTTCATTTTCAGCTTTTGATAGATTATATCAAAGGTTTTCATGGAACATTGACACAAATATTTGATATTCCTTTTTTGAAAATGGGAAGAAAGAAGGACAATGTGTCAAGTATCAGGAACTATTCATTTGCTGTCGTGCTTTTAATTATAGGTTGAAATTCAAGATAATTAAATAGATAATGGGTCCCAAATTTCAGATAATTTGTCCCACATAAAAGGGGGAGGGAAACACAACCTCCTGTCATTCTTGTACACAACCCAAAGACAAGGGTGGGTGATACCACTAAAATTTTAGCTTTCGGCTCCTGCAGCTTCATCAGGCTGGACATTGCAGAGTTGGGGGTAGTAGCAAAAAGCATGGCTAGATGTACATGCCAGGTTCCTAGGTTTAAGGTAAATTTCAATATGGGAAACAGTTCAGAGGTGGAAGGTTTCAGAATTTGCTTATGAAGATGTAGATTACAATGTCCCTCCCAATCTTATCAGATTAAAAAAGGCACCTTAAAAGCTAAGTACTGTATTTTGATGTGAGCTTTAATGAATCAAGTGCACTTCATCAGACACTAGAGTGAAACTATGACTCCCAATCTTGTTAGACAAAGAGTTTTCAGTCAACCGCCCCCCCCAAAAAAAAACCCACCATATACATCAAAACACATAGTTCTTCTTTATGGTCTCTGTGATTCACACTGCTGGGTTCTGCACTTGTGTAGAGCCACAGTCAGAAGAGTCTATCACTGAACTTTAGGCAGGAGACCCTACACACCCAGCAGGATATAAGTGCAGTACGCCTCAGCTACCAATTCAGCACCTCCCCTCCCCAGATTGCCTTATATATGGCTGGAAATGGAGGTAAAAGAAATATGGCAACCTTGATATCACAGAAATTGGGATAAAATTTAGTTTAAGGAAAGCTGGTTGTACCCATATTAAAAGTATTACCTAGTTGTTGGAGAAATACATTATGCTTAGTTCACAGTTCTGCTTGGGCAACATTGAATGCCCTTGCAGAATTCTGCGGTTCATAATGATGAAACTTTACTAATGTTTTGGTGTTCCAAACTCAAACATTACTGATTTGTTTCCAAACTCAGATACTCAACCATTTTAACTCATTATGGAGGGAGCAGCCAGAGCATGTGATAAAATGGTAAAGGGCATCCTCTCTAATTTATTTTCTTCCAGGGCTTCAGACTACCTGGAAGAACCTAGCATCCTATAGGAGAGGTAGACAGAAAGTAGATTGAAATCCACTGGTAGATCTCTGGATGATTTGCATTTGATTGGCACAACATCCATCAGCTTTACAAATCATTTGCCTTCACCCACTTTCTGGGCCCTTGATTGTCCTCCTTCACATTTAGTACCACACTATTTTCTCCAGCAGAAGGTTAGACTGGCTTTGCCTTATTTCTTTAAAGAAGATGAATTTTCTGAGCGATCTAAACATCACAGCAAGGAAGTGTGTCTCTCTGTTCCCAATTTTGTTATTAAACCTGTTCATTTTTTATTTGTCTTTCCATTATCCTTCGAAGTTCCATCTCACTCTTTCCTTTAGAAATGTTGTCCCCTTGAACTTAGGTTTCCCAAGCACCTTTAATGAGCTCACCTTTGTTTTCTCCCTCCACCTCTCCATCTCACAGGCATCTGTGTTGTGCCTACAAATTCACAAGCCCTTCACTTCCTCGTGCCAATGCACAAAAGGCTTACTTACTCAGGTGACTGTAGCAGCAGCCAGAGGCACAGCAGCAACTCAAATTACTTAACCTTTTCCTCTTCCTCAATGTGTCTGACTTGCCCTTTCATTTAATATTTAAGCACTTTCCGGAAGAGTTCCAGACAGGCTGTACCACGGAGTCCTACCTCAGAACGGGCCGAAACCAACTCATCTCGACCTACTATTTGATGGACCCACTCTGGGAAACCCAACTGCTGCCCTGAACTGGTTCTAGGCCTAACATTCTGGCCAGTCCCAGGCAACCAGACGTCCAAGCTCTGCTTCTTTGTTTTGGAGGCTGAGGGCACCGCCCAGGAGGGAGCCTCTCCGGGCGCTGCCTTCACTGGGAAGGCCCGGGAGGGGCAAGATGTGGCCTTCCAGATGATTGATGGTGGATCGTCACTCGCACGGTACCTCCCCAAACTGGCTCTACGGACGAGCTTAGGGAGCTGCAGCCTCACTCCTTCTGGAGGACCACATCTTTGCTCCACAAGGGCGGTCCCAAGGCCTGCGTCTCCACGCTGCGCTGGCGTCCCGCCGGAATATGATTCATCATCCCCGTAACCAGGATCGAAGGACACCCCCGCGTCGCGATTCCCCGCCGGACGCCTTGCAAGAGGCTGGCTCAGCCTTGAAGACTAGCAGGGAGCAGCCCTATCCCGGAAGAGGAAGGCGCTGCCTCCGTGATTTATAAGACAAATGATTTTGATGAAGCTGAAGAAGATGGCATTTAACCCCTAACTGTGTATTTTACTGCTTGATCATGCATTCCTCATACAGTATCCTGTTCAATATTTTTGCCTCCACAGGGCTCTAGCTGGGGAAGCTGCTGCAAGTCTCATGAAACACTGATCGCATATGACTCTGTTTCAGATTATTCAAAAAAAAATTACAACTGTAATTTATTGTTTTTATGATGACATACAGCATGAGTTCCTGGTTCTTCAATGTATTGTTGCTGCATTTGTTATATATAATTTTTAATAACATCTGTACTTTAATATCTTACAACAATTGTGATAACAAGACATTGAAATATGATCTAATAAGGAAAATGTGACTGCATTTTGTAATTTTGAGAAAAGATGGTGCATCAGCTGCATTTATAGCAGGCATCTTACCATCCTATCACAGCGATCATATCAAGGATGTATACTGTGGACATCTCTATATAAGCAGATTTAACCGATCCCGCCGCTTCTCCGGCGGAAACCGCCGCCGCAAAGGACAGTGACTGCAGGTGGGCTTGGAGACAGAGGAGAAGCGCGCGGCCGCCGGCCTCTCTGATGCCCGGGCCCGGCGAGGGTCCTCCTCCTTCCCGCCTTTGCGCGCCTCTGTTGGTGTCCCTTGCCTGCCCTCTTCTTCTCTTGGGGGCTCTCCCTTCTTCTCTGGGGAAGCAGTGAGGGAGGTGGGGCTCGAGGAGGGGGGGCTGAGGAATAAGACGGGTGCAGGGAGCCAAGACCGCCTCGCCTGCCCGGCTGGCTGCCTCCTAGCCCCTCGACGGGCAGACAGAACCGTCGTCCGAGGCAAGAAGACTCCTCACGGGGACAGCGAGGAAGGAGCAGGGCGGAGGGCTCGTCCTTCAGAATGGTGACCCCTGGAATGGCGTTGTTGGGCGGGGGGGGGAAGAGGTGGAGATTGCGGAGCAGGGCAGGAGAGGGCGTGAAAAAGGCGCGCAAGTCTCCCTCCCGCCTTGCGCCTTGGAAGCGCCCCGGATGAATCTCTTCCCATTTTCTTGGTCCTCTGCCGCTTCTGTTCGGCATCTGCGCTGCTCTTCGGTATCTTACTGTGGGGTGGGTAAACGTACTGTATACTGTATCTTAAAAAATTCAGGGGTCAACTCACAGTTTAAAAATCTTATACTGTAGTAACTTTCGGGAGTTAAATTGAAACATCAATAAAACAAGCACTTCAGTTAAAATAAAGGCAAAGACGTTGTGGCACCTTAAAGACTATATTTTCACGTGAGCTTTCGTTGACAAGTCCACTTCCTCAGACTGAAGAAGTTAGTCTTTAAGGTGTCAAAATGTTTTTCTCTTTTTTATTTTTTATGCTTTTGTTTTTGCATGGTACACTAGCACAGACTTAACACTCGTAATTCAAATGAAGTACAAATGCCCTTGTCCCCTGCCACCCCACCCCCCATAAAAAGATGCTCTAGAATAATGTCAGATATCTTAAGATGCTTCAGAGCAGTTGCTTTTGGAGACTCCTAGGGTTGCCTGGCTCTTGGAATAACTTGTGCTAGCAGTGCTTCCCAATCTTGGGTTCCCGGATGTTCTTGGACTGCAACTCCCAGAAAGCCTGGCCAGCACAGCTGGTGGTGAAGGCTTCTGGGAGTTGTAGTCCAAGAAATTGGGAACTACTGTGGTAGAGGAAGGAATTTGCAGCTGACGGGAGCTTTTTAATGGCACTTTCGGCTGGTAAGGACCTGCCTGTTATTAGTTCCTGTCTTTCAGGGACGGAAGACCAAAGTAGAGGGGGGATTTTGGAAGGGGTCAGTGTAGCCATGTTAGCCTGTTGCACCAAAAATACTATTGTGGTATCTGAAACACTAAATAGGCTTTATCAGCATAAGCTTTCCTGGACGTGAACCCACTTCTTTCAAGCTTAATTGATGAAGAGTAATAAACGAAGCACTTATATTAATAGGAACATAGGCAGCTGCCTCCTACTAACCCAAACTTTTCATCCATCTGTTCTACTATTGCAGAGCTTCAGGCAGGATTCTTTTGTAGACCTCCCTGCAGTTGCTTCGTTGGCCTTGATGGTTTCCATCATAGTATTGACTAGGCCTGACTCTGTCTATATTTTAAAATGACAGTATATGGCATGTGCTCAAGATGGCATTGTGTTAATTGATGATGCATCTTATCTTGGCCCTTTTCATTCTGTCTCTCAGCTTCGCTAGGAGACAAGGATTGATGTAATTGTGTTTTCTCTTAGCTTTCTGATTTAAACAGCCTTCCCCTTGGCTCAGCTTATATGATTTACTTTATTATATGTACCTTCTAAACCTTGCCTAAACTCTCCCATTCCATCCTTGCTGCTCCTTTTCCCTCTGTTTCTTTCAATAAATCCAAGTGATGACATATTGTTCTCTAATCCCCGAAACATACACATAGACAGGGGCTGGACAAGGGACAGATTGTATTTGTCTTTGGTGTGGAAGGGATTGCCACTCTCGAACTGGCCTTCTCAGCCACACTAGACGTTGTTCCCAGACCTCTATTCAGAGCACGTTACCATAGTCTCTTGAGACTGAAAGATGTCTACACACATAGACACAGAAGGAGACACAAGCAGGCTAGAAAGGCTTCACATTAAGTATTGCTTCCCTATGCTACATTATGTTAGCTGGCTCAATAGCTCAATGGGTTGGATACCTGGCTGTAGAACCAGAGTCTGGGCATTCAGGTTCTATGTGCATCCCGGCAGAACAGTTACCTTGTGTAGTCTTGGGCAAGCTGCAGAGCCCCAGATCACCCCCAGAATAATAATAATAAATAATCTTAGAACTGCAGAGCTGCAAAAGACCCTAAGGATCATCAAGTCCAGCCCCTATCAAGAAGACACAGTTGGGAAGTGAATTCTCAATCTCTGGTTCCACAACCAGTTACCCTGAACTATCCAGCAGTTCAAGGGAACTGTAACTCACTTCTATACCTTAAAAACCCTAGGAAAGGGTTGCTGTAAGTCAGATAGTTACTGTATGCAACACAGTAAAAGACAGGGAGTTTCAAAAAGAACAACAGCCTTACCATCCCTGGAACCTAACACACACTTGGTATGCATAATGAAAGATTTCCTGCCCAGAGGAGGGTTTACCTAGTAAAAGGGAAATAAACTCCCTGTAGCTTTTTCCTCCCCAGTCACCTTTCTCTGTTTTTATACCACTTTCCCCCTCTGCCCCCATCTTCTTTCCTGGAGGAAAATTACTCTCACAGCAGTTAAGCTGAGCAAAAATGGAACCTTTTCCAATCGCAGTTCTTTTGGAATTTCGCACACATACTCTGTCCAGTAATACACATGGTTCTCTTGCTACAAATATTCCAATAACATACTGTAATTTCTACCTAAAGCTTTGAATATTTATAATGTAATATTTAAACCAAACATGCTAAACCAGGTAACATTATTTAGACGACTAGAAATTTTACCTGTTCTACTTTTTCTGGAAAATTTGTATCAGTGCATCTGAACAGTGGGAGAAATGGAAGAAACTGGTGTCATTGCTCAGCAGCATTTTCCCGTCAAGTCCACCTGCCCCTGCTCAGCTATTTCTCTGGGGAGGAAGAAGCTTTGCAGGGACAAGAGGTTTAATCTTCCCAGCAGATGCAAATGAGCAGGAATTGATACTGAGCTTGTTAATAGTGGACAGCTAAGCAATATGGAGCAGGGTTGGCCCAATAGGGTGTGTTGTTTTAGCTTGTCCATCAGGGCAGGTGGAGTGTTTTAATTTGGGCTTCTCTCCAGCTGTCCCGCTCTTGCTTATCTTCTTACCAGAAGCAAATGGTGGATACTGGTGTCACTGCCTGCCCTGGATGACAGTTGTTGGTTGTGGCACCAGCCCTCATTGAGGTGTGTTTTGAATAAAAGAAGGATGTGGAAGAAAGAGAGAGTGAGAAATGGGATGGCTTGATCCTTTCAGCTCCACTCACCACTACTATTGCCATCTACCAAATTTCCAGGGTTTTTTTTAGGTAGAGAGTACCTAGAAGTGGTTTATCTTTCCCTTCTTCTGGGGACACCCTGGGACTGTACAGCTTGCCCAAGGCCACCAAGGCTGGCTTTTCTACGAAGAATATTGAAGCTTTATCAGTAAGCTGCAAAGAGTAGTGCTTGCACTAAAAGGAGGGTATATAAATTAAACAAATCAATGAAACAAACAAACAAATATAAACTCCCAACCTCTGGCTTCACAGCCAGGTATCTGAACCACTGAGCTATCCAAGTAGCTCACCATTGCTATATAACTCCAATAATATTTCTTGCAGAATATGTGCTGCTTGAGAGAAAGGTTATCCAAATTTTGATAAAGTCCGGATAAGGCTGTATGGTTGTCAAAACAATACAAATGCAGGAATGAGTGGTGCCTTTAATCAACCATTAAGAATATAAAACAAAACAGAAAAACAAAAAGCAAGCTTTTGATGATAAATTATCTTCTTCAAGGCTGTGCATCAAGTTCTTGTGGGCAGTTCCAAATAGTGTGCTGTTTTTCATGTCCCAAATCCTCGTGGCTGATGGTGTAGAGGCCAGGCAAGCTTCTTTGATGGAAGCAGCTGCAGCGTGCATGTTGGTTTCAAACTCTTCTTCAGCTAATAATTTAGAATTTCTAACACATCTCTTAAAATGGAGGACAGTCGTAGACAATCTTGTGGCTCCCTCTTTCTGCCTTTCTGTCTTTTTTGAAACTTGAAGAGTTTTGTGAGTTCTTGGACATCATGGACTCTTGACATCAAACAAGCAGTGCTGCATGCTAAAGAGAGCATCCACCAGGTAAAACTATTTGGATTTAATTTTGCTTAAATTGACTGTTCCTGGTGGTTTAACTAAATTCCTAATCTCAGCTCTGTTAGAGGCAGGCCATGTTATCTGGGCAGCTTTCTCTCTCCCACATCTCCTCCATTTTAAAAGATGTGACATAAATTCCAAATTGCTAGCTGAAGAAGACCTTGAAACTAACATGCCTGCTGTAGCTGCTTCCACCCATGAAACCTGCCTGGCCTCTCTACACCATAGTCAAGTTAATTTGAGACATTAAAAACAGCACACAAGTTTGGAACTGCCCACAAGAACTTGATGCACAGCCTAGATTTTGATGTCATTTATAATTATTTGCCGTGTTAAATCTCTTTCTCTTATGTTTGATGAAGCAGACCTGCTCTTATGTCTGATGAAGCAGACCTGTCCACAAAATCTCACATTAACAAATATAGAAGCTAGTCTGTAAGGTGCCACCACGTTTTTGTCTCTCTCTTTTTTACTTTTTTTTAATGTTGCTTTTACCTATAATTAAGAGAAAAGGTTTCCCATTCCTGCTTCAATAGATTCAACCTGCATGCCTTTTACCCCTATTAGCAGTGGTTACTCTCCTTCCATCTAGAGTTAGCCTATTTGCAATATCAGGTTGCTTTTACTGGAGTGCTGAAGCCGAGTCCCTGATGCACACTACTATTAAAACAATCTCCACTGAGGATGGATTAGCTAGTAGAAGATTCAGCAATTATTACCCACACTGATTTAAACTTAATATGCAATTGTTCCAGGTCATAAAATGTCCCACATACGAAGATGAAGCAGTGAGCCTACAGTTTAATCACCATTGTTTCGTAATATCCTGTTAATCTGTAAATTTAATGTTTGTACTTTTATATTATATGTTTTGTGAAGGTTTTGTAAGCCATATTTTACTGTTAGTTTAATAGAAAAGATTATTGTTTCCTTTTCTTTTCATCCTGAGTAGCTGAATCCTGAGCTGAACTGGCATGAAACAGCTGAGCAGGGGAAGAGGAGATGTGACAGCATGCTCAAGTTCTCTTCCCACTCCCCACCCTTCTGCTTGTATGTTTTTCAAAACTTAGATGAACATTTGTGGGGGGAGAGTTAGTGCAGGGAGGGAAGCCTTTGTTAATGTCTGTTTGGAGCAAAGGCAAGGGAAATGACCCAGAAGTGTCTCAATGTTCCTGTTTCACCCTCTTTAGAACGGTGATAACTCTGGGCGTAATCACTGAGAAGATGTTGCAGAAGAAGACCCAAGAAAGCAGGAGGCCTTCCACAGGGCCACTGGGAGCTGAGGAGGGTTCTACCCGTGTCATCACCATTGTCTTCGTGGCACTCCTGATTGATCTCTTGGGCTTCACTCTTATTCTGCCACTCCTTCCCTCAATACTTGATCATTACAGCAAGAATGGTGTAAGTAAGAACTGAACATTATTTATATATATATATATATATATAAAATATCATCCACCCATTTATCGTGGAAGAGAAGGGAGCTCCTCCAGAGTGCCTGAGACTCCACTTCTGAATTATAGTCACTGACTGTGCATTCTACTGAGAGGAAAAAAAATCTGAATTCATTCTTCATGGACATGATTAAAGAGTCATGATTCTTTCATAGATGGGAAGAGATAGCCTCCGTTTGTCCAAACCTGTGATTTAGATGAAAATGTGCAGAGCATCGTGGCACAGTGGTTAAACTGCTGTACTGCAGCCAAAACTGTGCTCACGACCTGGGGTTCAATCCCAGGTAGCGGCTCAAGGTTGACTCAGCCGTCCATCCTTCCGAGGTCGGTAAAATGAGAACCCAGCTCGCGGGGGGGGCAATGTGTAGCCTGCATAATTAACTTGTAAACCGCCCACAGAGAGCTTGAAGTGCTATGGGGGGTATATAAGCAGCACGCTTTGCTTTTTGCTTTTACTTTCCACCAAATGGAAAATCCTTTCTGTCTTCGCCACCCCTCAATTTTAGTTGATATGAAGATTGGAAATACTGGGGTCCCAAAGTCTGGGAGAATTAAGTATGTAAATAAAAGGCAATACGGGTAATAGTACCTGTACAGAAGAGGAAAAATGAATGAAATATTACCTGGTAAAATATTTCATTTGTCGCATACATTTCAGTAGTCTTTACTGGAAACAGGTTTGCGTTCAAAAGCAGGTATCCGTAATTCCCATCCATGCCCCATAAGTAGCTTCATTAAATATTCTCATTCAATCCTTTTAATATTTTGCCATTCTTTTTGTATTACTTTCTTGAAATTAGCACACCATTCAGTTTCCAGCTACTAGTCCTACTGTTCACATTTGGATTTGTAGTATAACCTAGTATTTGAGTTTGGTCTTTGCCTGAGGAGCCAAAGGTTGGGAGATCAATTCCCCGCTGTGTGTCTCAGGAGAAGAGCTTGCCTGTGTTGCTTTGGGCAAGCATGACAGTCACAGAGGAAGGGAATGGTAAAGCACTTCTGAATATTTGATGCCCAGAAAACCTGGAAAGGGTCACCATAAATCCAAATTGACATAACAGCACATAACTATTGTTAGACAGGATTCAACAAAGAAACATGGCCTTCTCTACCTTTGTGATCAGTTTGTAAGCTTGTTCATCATGGAGTTCTGTTAGCCAACTTCCTGGTGAGTTTATCATATACCAATAGCTGAACTTAGATATTTTGGGAAATTTGGGGTGGATCCCTATTATTAAATCTTTTTCTTTGTCAGAATATGTACAGTGGTATTTCCTGTGCACATTTAAGCCTGCCTTCTCTGTTCTCTGTCTAACAAAGACATGCAGTGGCAGATCATTTCCCCCCTTTGGGACCATGGGGGACTATGGGGAAGTAGAGAAACAGCCAATGAAAACAACAAATGAAAACTGCCCTGCTTCATAGATGCCGTGTCAGGCATTTGTGACAAGATAGGTGCTAAGAGGTTATGCTTCCTGAAGAATCATCCAACAAGATGGGTAAGATGGGTCCTGCAGTCCTCCTTTTGTAATATGTTTTCTTGTTTAATAGTAAATGCTGCATCAATATTGTGTATACGTAGTTGCTTGTCCAGATATTTTAGAATGGCCTTTTTGACCTGGTGCCCTTCAAATGTATTAAACTGTAACTTCCATCAACCACAGCCAGCTTGGCATTAAGAATTGCAGTTCTGCACCTCTAGAGGGCACTAAGTAGAGGGAAGGCTGTTCTATAAAGTGCAGTACATGTGAATTTTCTAGTCACTTTCATCCTTTGTTTCCAGGTGGGGGAGGAAGTGTTAGCAGGTATCTATTGGTTTGATTTTGCATCCTTGGTTTGATTTTAAATCCTTCTATTTTAATTTCTGAACTAGTACAGAATTCTCAAATAATTTTTTGCAGCTTTCATTTCATGATAAATAATTATACTATTGATTCTCAGTGTGGTGTAGTGGACAGAGTGAGAGACTAGGACTCTGGAGAACAGGGTTTGAATCCCCAGTCAGCCATGGAAACTCACTGAGGGAATGGAACTGATAAAACCACTCCTTAAATATCTCACTTACCTTGAAAGCCCTATTAGGATCTCTGTAAGTTGGTTCTGACTTGACGGCACAGAACACACAAACAATTATGCCACACATGTTAAATATTTTAGTTCAGTGCTTTATTCTGCTTTTACCATTCTTCTGTATCTTTTATTCTTCTATTTGTAACATTCTAACAAGCAACAGTTAGAACTGGATATGGAACAACTGATTGGTTCAAAATTGGGAAAAGAGTATGACAAGCCTGTATATTGTGCCCCAGCTGATTTAACTTATATGCAGAATACATCATGCAAAAGGTCGGACTGGAGGAATCCCAAGCCGGAATTAAGATTGCTGGAAGAAATATCAACAACCTCCGATATGCAGATGATACCACTCTGATGGCAGAAAGTGATGAGGAATTAAAGAACCTCTTAATGAGGGTGAAAGAGGAGAGCGCAAAAAACGGTCTGAAGCTCAACAACAACAAAACAAAGATCATGGCCATTGGTCCCATCCCCTCCTGGGAAATAGAAGGAGAAGATATCATAATCAAATGTGGGGAAAATATATTTTTTTCTATACAAGCTGTCAACCTACATATCCACCCATGCTTTTTTTCATGCTTTTTTTCTGTTAGGATTTTGTTTTTCAAAAGAAATTGGGTTCCTTCCTGTAATTTCAAGACAGTCTTCAAGAGAGGGTGGGGACAACTACAAAAATTGCTCTGCTTTTTATAGCTATCGAATTCTTTGAGGAGCAGCTCTGCAGTGTGTGATTTAGGCATAAGATCTAGGGCCTGCTCTACTCTCTAGTTGTCATGGCCTACCGACTGGTCAAGGACTTCTGTCTTATGATGCTTTTCATGCACACAGTCAAACTGGGAGATAGACAGAGAAAGATTAGCAAGAAGGGATTGTGACAGAGCTAAGGAAATGTGGTAACGTCTGAGCTCAGAGGCAATTCAGAATAGGGCAAGTATCTTGAAAATAGGGCAGCTCAACAGTTTACTCATGTCTCTGGGGTAGAGCAGATTCTGTCTTCTTGGCCACTAGCCAGACCAACTTGTATTCTCCCTATTCGTATCTGGCCTCTTTTATGAACTCTTATTCATCCTATGTCCTATAAGAGATCTTATTATTGAAGGCTTTCACGGCTGGGATCTGATGGTCGTTGTAGGTTTTTTGGGCTGTTTGGCCGTCTTCTGGAGGTTTTTCTTCCTAACATTTCGCCAGTCTCTGTGGCCGGCATCTTCAGAGGACAGGAGTTAGAACACTGTCTGTGTTCTGGTTTAATGTGTGGGAAAGTTATTTGTAGCTGTGGGATCAGCTTTTTGTCCTTTTCAGGAGATTGGGTGATTATGGTGATCAGGGAGCTCCAGCACTGAAAAATACAGCCTGCAAAAAGGTCAACAAACTCTACCCAATCACAAGTACCAGTGATCATTGTACACAAAAGAGTAGCTAACAACACCCATCAATCACAATGACAGATCATCTCCCCCCTTATCACAACAATACACCCATAACAAAAAACACCCTGATCACCATAATCACCCAATCTCCTGAAAAGGACAAAAAGTTGATCCCACAGCTACAAATAACTTTCCCACACATTAAACCAGAACACAGACAGAATTCTAACTCCTGTCCTCTGAAGATGCTGGCCTCACAGACTGGTGAAACGTTAGGAAGAAAAACCTCCAAAACACGGCCAAACAGCCTGAAAAAAACAACAATCATCGGATCCCAGCCATGAAAGCCTTCGAGAATACAATAACAGGATTGTGAAGGGTTAAAGCATCACTTGGTACAACATGTCTGTAGATTAAAAGCAAACTTGCTAGGAGGTTCTTTTCAAGGCATCAATACTGATGTGTGTGGAGGAATTTCAGTGTGGTGATCAAATCCAAAGACCTGCTCTTCAAAATATTCAAGATTAAATGGGGGAAAATATGGTTTTTTAGAAGTTTGATGTTTCTTTCTATACTTATTAATCACCAGAAATATTGATTACAGAATAACCACACATGATTGGGGCAGAGGAGTAGTGGCCCTAGTATTTCCAGATTGGCTCCCATGAGTTAAGTCTCTCCTCACTCTTGTCTATGCCTTTTCTTCCCTAGGATCATTTCTACATGACACTGCAGCATGGTGTGGACTGGTTCAGTGAAGTGGTTGGTGTGCCTCCTGAACGAAAGTACAACAGTGTCTTATTTGGAGGTACAAATAATGTTTCAGGGTAGAATTCTTTCAAGAACATTAGCTGGGTTTGTTTGTGAGGAACCAAGAACTACTATATCAATTTGTATTAAACGTAACTTAGCCCTCTGAGAATCTACCACCCTTGCTACAGTCTCCTTCACCATTCATATAGAACAATAGGAGGAATTGGCTGCAGTTGGCAAAGTCTACTACTGAACCGTCTCATTCAGTAGTCAACCAGGACTATAAGTGCAGTTGTTCAGTGGAAGGGAAGCAAACACAGAGAAGGAAGTTGGGCAATTTAATTGGCTTCAGAAGCCAAGCAAGACAGGGAAGGACTTAAGCAGAAAAGAGAGAGGGAAGAAAAGAGGTGGCAAAAGGAGTGCAGACTTCAAATGTTAGTAAAGGCAGCCAGGGATCAGACCTGAAGAAGCTGGGGCATGGAGCTGCAGAAGGCAACAGCCTGGGATGAAGAGAATGTACCCGCAGTGCTCTGTCTTTGGTAGCTGCTGTCGCAGTGAGTAAAACTTAAAGGAGAGTGTGAGAACAAAGGGCCAACCCATTCACTGCACGGTGTCTCCAGTGTCAGCAAAACAGTCAAGCCTCTGCGGCTTCTTTCATCAGCAGACCTCCAACCCGAGGCACTGAGCTGCTCTCTCTAGATCATAGCTCAGGTGTTCCTGGACTACAGCTCCCAGAAACCCCAGCCAGCGCAGATTGTGGTGAAGGCCTCTGGGAGTTTGTCAAGAACAAATCCTGCCAGACTAATCTGATCTCATTTTTTGATCGGGTAACCTCCCAGACAGACAGAGGGAATGCTGTAGACATCACATATCTTGACTTCAACAAAGCTTTTGGCAAAGTGCTCCATGAAATCCTGGTTAGCATACTAACTAGGTGTGGGCTGGATAGATCAAGTGTCAGGTGGATACAGAATTGGCTACAGAATCGTACTTGGAGGTTGATGATTAATGACTCCTCCTCTAACTGGGAGGAGGTAACAAGTGGGATAATCCCAAGGCTCAGTCCTGGATCTGGTGCTCTTCAACATTTTTATTAATGACATGGATGAGGGACTACAGGGAATGCTTGTCAGATATGGGGATGACACAAAATTGGGTGGAATAGCTAATACCCTGAAAGAAAGAAACAAAATTCAAAATGATCTTGATAGGCTGGAGCACTGGGCTGAAAACAATAGAATGAAATTCAGCAAGGTTAAGTGCAAAATACTGCACCTTACAAGATCGGGGATACCTGGCTCAGCAATACTACAAGTGAGATGGATCTTGGAATTGTTGTGGATTACAAGCTGAATAGGAGCCAACAGTGTGATGTGGCTACAAAAAAGGCTAATGCTATTTTAGGCTGCATTAACAGAAGTATAGTTTCCAAATCCTGCAAGTTGCTAGTTCCCCTCTATTCAGCACTGGTTAGGCCTCATGTTGAGCATTGTCTCCAGTTCTGGACACCACACTTCAAGAAGGATGCTGACAAATTGGAACGAGTTTCTCGAAAGAAGGATGCTGACAAATTGGAATGAGTTTCTCGAACATCTGAGAGTGCAGGACATGCAACAATGGGCTCAAGTTACAGGAAGCCAGATTTCAGTTGAATATCAGGAAAAACCTCCTAATTGTTAGAGCAGTACGACAATGGAACTGGTTACCTCTGGAGTTGGTCAGTGCTCCAACACTGGAGGAATTCAAGAAAAACCTAGACAACCATTTGGCAGATATCCTTTTATTTGTATTCTTGCATCGATCAGGGGATTTGACTTGATGGCCTTCTAGGCCCCATCCAGCTTCACTATTCTATGTTCTATGAGTTGCAGTCCAAGAACACCTGGATTATCGAGTGCTTTAGACCAGTGGTTCTTAACCTTTGTTACTCAGATGCTTTTGAACTGCAACTCCCAGAAACCCCACTCAGCACAGCTGGTGGTGAAGGCTTCTGGGAGTTGCAGTCCAAAACTCCTGAGAAACCCAAGGTTAAGAACCAGTGCTTTAGACACATTTGCTATAGATTCAAGAGTAAGATATGGAAGACTTTAAGGAATAGTGGATTCTCAGTTGTGATCTGGCTTTACCCTCACTACTTTCCCCCTGAGTACAGCTAAGAGTTAGGAACTGTCTTTGATGTTCTATTTAATTGCCTATCTCTTTTCAGGTCTAATTGGCTCCATATTTTCTATACTTCAGTTCCTTGCCTCTCCACTCACTGGAGCTGCATCTGATTACTTTGGCAGAAGGCCTGTCATGCTCTTGACTCTGGTAAGTCTGATGGAAATAGAAAATACATAGCAATCAGTTTGCATGATTCCTTCCTCAATATGATGTCCTCCAGATGTCTAGAACATCAGCTCCCATCAACCTCAGGCAACATGCCCAATAGGCAGGGGTTGTAGTCTAAAATATCTGAACCAGCTGGACAGAAATCTGTTTGATATGTAGCCAACAGCCTTGGAGAGAACCTAGTTATGGATAACATTTAGACAGTCCTGAGCTTGTTGGTTTTAACCTGAGGACCTTAGAACTGCAAAGCTGGAAGGGACCCTCTGGATCACCAAGCCCAGCCCTGAGAAGGAATTGAATTCCCAACCTTTGGCCCCACAGCCCAAGACTTAAACCACTGAGCTGTCCAGCAGTTAGCTCAGCTAATCATTCCATGCTTTGGCACTTCTAAATGCTTACATTGTCTCTAAAACCAATATTCCTTTTTATATCCATAAACACACTTATATAAGTGTAGGTTCATTATTTATTTTGGCTCCTTCACTTTGTTCTACTCAGGAGCAATGGGGAAAACAGTAGTCATTTCTCAAGATCTTTAGAAAGGGCTTTGACAGATATCTACCATTTCCCATTCAACTTTGGTTCAATTCCCTGTAAAACGTACTTCCAAAGAAGAATGTACCAAGATTTTCTGTACTTCTCTATACTTGTGTAATGAAAATACCCTTCTTTTGTCTGTAGATTGGCCTGATAGCATCGTATTTCCTATGGGCCATTTCCAGGAGCTTTGAGCTATTTCTTTTCTCTAGAATCATCGGTGGAATAAGTAAAGGGAATGTCAGCCTCTCCACTGCCATTATTGCTGACTTACAATGTCCAAAAGCTCGAAGCAAAGGCATGGTGAGTTTATGGCATGAATTTGTGCCTTTGACATTTACTAAGGTGGGAAAGTTTTCCTTTGAGCAAATAATATTTATCAATGTGTTTACGCTAAAAAGCCTTGGGTGAGATGTGGATTGCAGTAAGTTTGGCCATTCACTAGTCATCCTGTGGGTCAGCAGCCTTCACTTGTATTGAAGCACAATTAAGGCTGGCCATAAAAGGAACAGTGGCCTGAGCCACAAGTACCTTTGCCCCCCATCCGTGGACATACATGTACAACCATCGGGAGTATTTGTGGGCTCTGGGGAAAGCAAGATGTTTGGGGTCCTGCTCCTGTCCCCTACCAGGACACATACATTCTGCACAAAGCTGGGAGCTACATGCAAGAAGTATTCTCACAAACTACATGTGAGAATTCTGGCCTGCAGCTCATCCTTACTCAGGGACTATCAACCTCATTATACCTTACTCCTATACTCTTCCCTGTGACAATTACCGTAGAAAATGAATCTCCAGTGGCTCTTTGCTTGAAAATTTTAGGTAATGTTCACTCACTTTCTAATTGGACTTTTCTCCCTAATGGGCCTGAAGTTCTTACTGTGACAAGAACAGACCATTTCCTTAAAGCTGCTCTAATTTACTATTTCCTCTTTCTGTTTTTAACATTGATGTGGAAGCTGGGAAAGAAATATATTTCAAAGCTAATAGAAGGAAAATCATTTTTATACTTAGTACCCAAACAATCTGTAGAACCTTGGGGTAAAATGGTTGCAGATAGTTGCTGTTTGACACCCCATCTCACTAAACCTAGTATCTTAACAAATAAACAAACAGCCGATTTAGCAACCCCTTCAGCTCAGCACTGAGCCTCTGGCAACCTCCCAGCTTGTCCACACCTAAGGCCAGTCTTGTCCAGAACACTAATCTGTCACTAGAAGTCATTTCCTGACACTAGCCCAGATCTGCCTTTAACCAGCAGGCTTATCATTCGCTCCTGCCAAGATGAGGGTTACCTCAGGACATTGGTGCATGCATTGGTCATCTCTTGGATCAGCTACTGCGGTGCTCTCTACGTGGGGCTTCCCTTGAGGTTGATTTAGAAAGTGCAGTGGGTCCAGAACATGGCAACCTGACTGGCAGATGGTGTGAGCAAATTTGATCATATCATACCAGTTCTGGCCCATCCCCATATTTAATTTTTTAAAATCTTCTTAAATAATTTAAATTGTTCTTGTTTATTTGTTACTTATCACCACATTTTTTATTCATTGTCGTAAACCAGCCAGAGTACTGCATCACACTAATGGGTGGGCTGAGTGATTAAACAAACAAACAAATGAACAAACAAACAAATAACCCGTAGGAGAAGCATGCGGCCCCTTTTGATAGCAGTCAGCAGCAATGTTAATTCAGAAGTAGCCATTACCCCATAATGGTAATATAGCTGCAAAATTGTCCTCATGAGGAAGAGCTGCTTTCGATAGCATAATGGCCAAAATCTACAGTAAACCATAACTAGAACAGGAACAGTGGAGGTTTGTTTATCTGTATACCTATGTAATTTCAGCCACTGTTTGATGCCCCAGTTCATCCATTTCAGCACGAAAGCACCTGGAATGGTGGGAGAAGAGGTGCTTCTGTTAACAAGTACAAGCTAGCATTGATGTATATGTGTGTGCCCATTAAGACATACAACTCAAATACATACACAGAAGTACCCTGTCTGACACTCAGACACTCAGTCTGGAACAGGAAGGGATCCTAAAATCTTGAGTGCCCAGCAGCTGAAAACCTGGAACATTTAATCCTTAAAGAGATTTAGAAGCAAAATTTCATAGTGAAGAAGCATTTTTTTAAAAAAGAATTAAAACAAACATTCAGACTGTGGCTTCTATTAAGTAGCATTGACCAGTCCAGTTGAAATTCATTCATGTAGATTAATAGTTCTAACTTTTAAGGCAGATGATATTGAAAATATTTTGTGGGGCAGGTGACATGAGGAGCAGCACCGTGAAGAAAGGAGATACAAAAATGTATGAAATTCATCATTACAACTTAAATCCAGGACAGGGAATATATGACTTCCAGATGTTATTGGACTCCATGTCCCAGAATCCTTCTCTAACTAATTAGGTCTATTTCGATTTGCTGTTGTATATTATATGGAGACAACACATTCTTCATCTGATTTTAAACACTTTAAAATATATTGCATCAGGGGTCCCCAACCCCCCAGTCCGTGGCCCAGTGCCAGGCTGTGGCCTTGGACGTAGAGACAGATCTCCCACCCACACACATGCCCACCCACATGCGCAGCCCACACCCACCTGCACGCACTGGTGCCCCCGCCTACCTGCATGCATGCAAGCATGCCTGCCCATTTGCGCATCCGTACGAGCGCAGCCCCACCTTTCTTCACATGGACCCCGCCCCCCCAACTGGTCTGCAGTTTGGAAAAGATTGGGGACCACTGTATTGCATTAATGAACCTTGTAACACAACCAAAAATAAAAACAAATGAATCATGATGGATAAACCTGAAACAAATCACACACATGAGTATCAGGCACTCCGGAAGCTCTTTAAGAGACCACAACTGGGTAGATATATCAATGGACATTTGCTATGTTTCCCTAGGCAATGATCGGTGTGGCTTTCTCCTTGGGTTTTACTCTTGGTCCTATGCTTGGAGCGTACCTCGCCATGGAGACAGAGAAGGGAGAACTCTTCTATGTTCAATCTGCAACATTTGCTGTCCTGTTTGCAGTTATTGACTTGGCTTTTGTCTTCGTCTTGTTGCCAGAGACACTCCCAAAAGAAAAAAGGGTAAAGTTTTCTGGATACTATAATATGTAGTCATCTTGGGCTTGCAGAAAAAGAAACAAATAGCAAGGGATAGTGCAGTGCTATTATGAGCAGTATCTGATTCAGGTAAACCTGTACCTCATGTTTGCCAAAATCAGCCTGAAGCCTATTGCCAAGGTTATTTGGGAAATTCTCATGTACAGCTGGACTTTAGAGACTTGAGAGACTTTTACAGTACCTGGTGTATATTCTCTGGATCTGCTCAGCCTTGTTAACCTGCTGAAGACTGAATGCTTGAAGATTGCTATGAACAACATCAGCAACCATTTCCCACCCTGCCTCCCAGACCGGCTCAGCTCTTGGGCTTGCCTTTTTAGTGCAATTATGGCTACAGCTTCTTAAATCCTTTATTTGGCATAGTCACTTCACACTTAGTTTTTGTCGTTGTTGTTGTTTATTTATTATACTTTACTGTATGTACCCATTTGTTATTTCACTTTATTGCACATTTCTGGTTAGTTCCTACTTTTGTATTGCTAGAGGTTTTAAGCCTTATTGTGTAAATTTAGTTGTTAGTAGTTTAGCTTCGGGGTCTTTTTCTTTAGTTTAGGGACTAAGTGGTGAGAATTCCCTCTTTTCTCTCTCACACACTCTCTTTTGGCTCTTCTCCTTTCCCTACTTTTTCTACCCCCTTTTTTGTTGGGGTGGAATTAAGGCTTGGTGATTGCAGATCAGTCTGGAGAGTTGATTCTGTGGGGGGCACAACAGAATATCGGTGGTGACAGGGAAGGGGAGATATGCTACCGGAGGGAATGTTGGCCATTTCAGGAGATCCTAAGTTCAGCACTTGGTCCTGATCCCGGGCTCTAATGTTTCCTTCTCTGGACAGGTGCAAGGTAACCAGCTCAATCCATTGTCTTCCACTCTGTCCCTCCTGTTGCTGAATGCCAGTCCAGTCAAAATAAATCCCAACTGATTGCTGATCTGATTCTGGATGAAGGGGCTGACCTGGCATGTATAAGAGAGACCTGGGTGGGCACTGAGGGAAGGGTAGTTCTCTCTCTGATCTGCCCCCCCAAGATGGAAATCCTGTTTTAGGGAGGGCATCCTGATTGGTTAGGGGGCCTGTTACCTGATCTTAATGGAGTCACACTCCCCCTGAAGAATCAGGTGTGAAATGTGGGTGCGCTTCTCAACCTGGCCCTCTCAGTGGAGAAACAGATCCTGGCTGTGGCCAAATCTGCCCTTTCCCATCTGAGGAAGATTGCACACCCCCGAGCACTTCTTGACACAAGATCTCTAATAACATTGGTTCATGCATTGGTAATCTTGAGGACGGACTATTGCAATGCTCTCTACTTGGGGCTGCCATTGAGGGTGGTTTGGAAGCTTCCGCAAATATGAAATGCAGTGGCCAGGCTGGTCACCAATACCTCTAAATTTGACCACATTTCACCTGTCCTGGCTCGCTTGCACTGGCTGCCAGTATGCTTCCGGGCCAAATTCAAGGTATTGATGTTAACTTGCAAAGCCCTTTACAGCTTAGGACCTTGCTACCTGTCAGAGTGCTTTTCCCTCAGGTCATCTTCCCATCCCACCAACACTTCCCAGTCTTTAATGCTGCGGGTGGCCACTTCAAAAGAGGCCCGGAAGGCATCAACCAGAAACCGGGCCTTTTCAACTGTGGCCAGTCCGCTCTGGAACTCTCTTCCTGTGGAGGTGCGACTGGCCCCCACCCTCCTGAGCTTCTGCAAGCAAATTAAAACCTGGCTTTTTACCCAGGCCTTCTCAAGCACCACCCTTTTGTAAAAAATTATGATGGCCTGTTGTCTGCATCCTGTTTCCCAGACTGGTGATTTTAGGGGCGGGGGGGGAGGTTTGTAGGGTTTTATTTGTTTTCTTTTAATATGTTTATATGGTTTTAATATTTTTAGCTGTATGTTTTATAATATTTTGTAAGCTAGCCAGAGTAGTGGCATGCTCACTAAATGGATGGGGTATGAATTTAAATAAATAAATACATAAATAAATAAATTTATTCCTCCTTTTTTTTTTACAAAGGTGTCCTCCATGATGTCAGGTTTTCGGTCGGCAACAAACCTAATCAATCCTCCAGCCTTATTCCAGTTCTCTGCAGTAAGCCAAAGAATGGAATCACCTTCAAAAGAGAGCAAGTCCTTCAGCTTTCTATGCTATTTTATGATTTAATCTGAGTATGATGGAACTTAACTATTTCAGAATCCATTGCTTTATTGTTCATGATACTGAAATACTTCTGTTATCTTCCTCTACAATAAGTGCTAGCCCTTCCCTGACGACGCGCACCTCTACATTTTTTTTTCTTGGCAGTTATTCATTTATCCAGCATTAAGCATAGACTGTTTCAGAAAGATACTCTGCTTCTAGGAGTTTTCAGTTCAGCATTTGGGTGCTTCTAGCCAAAGAGCATGTAGAGCACCACTGGTCAAAAAGTATTGAGCAGTTATTTTGTCTTTTTTACCTTTTTTTTCCTGATGAGGGGGAAAAAGATGGAATAAACAGTAGGAAAACATGGGAGAACTACAAATAGAAGATGGAAACCCCATGAAGTCTATTAGCCTTTTCTAGAATAAACCTCAGACATATCTTCTGAAAGGATTTAAGACACAACGAGTGGAAAAGCCCACTTATGGCAGGTGTATTGGTCAGAAGAATCACTGACTACATGGAATCATATATATTCACATATCAAACAGTATGCGAATCACATTGCCAGTCTCGTAGGATATATGAATCAATCTTTCCTAAGTGCCAACCTCCTTACATTAGCTTTCATTTGTAGCAAGCCTATGCAGTCTCATGCAAGCAGAATGAAACATGGGCTTTAAGACGAAGGCATCAAGTAGTGTGTAGAAGACATCAAGATCAAGTAGACATCAAGAACAGCTGCAACACTAGCAAATTTATTTGTGAGGAAAAAGGCATCCTCAATAGCTTTGTGTAGATCTAGCATATTAGCTGTTAGCTTTCTTAATAGAGTCATTAAACAATTATAATCCACATTTCACACAACTTTGGGTAGCATTCAACATCTTGAAAATGAAACGTGGGGCCCCCAAACATGCTGAAGAAAGGAAAGGATTGCATGGAATAGTGCAAGAGAGAGATCTGTATTGTAGCCACTGAAGATTTTTTTAAAAAGTTGTTTTAAAATACATTAATATTTGGCAGGTATAGGAACACTGTACAGGAAGCACCTGAGATTATTGGGTAGTGCCAGCCTCAGCCTTAGTATTTAATATGCACCAATTCTAAATATCTTAACCAGTAAAATAAGATATGAAGTCAGTAAGAAAATCCTGGTTAAGAGAGAGTTTGCTTACCATTAACTGTTACCAGTGCAGCTGAAAAATTAGTGTACATTGTGGCTGATACCTGATTGATTTACAAATCGTAATCTGCAAGGGGGCACCATTACTTCTGCCATGGACTGTTACATCCTTCGAGTGTAGTTACAGTCTCCTATTTCCACAATTGGAGGCTGCTGTGAGCTTAGCAAAGTCCAAGGGTTACTTGTTCCAATGATTTTTGCACACTTTTTTGTAATTATTCTAAATGGACTAGGAATATTTCATTATTTTAATAGATCTCAAGATCCTGGGTTTGGTATACTTCTTATACCTATTCCTCTTCTCTGGTCTGGAATACACACTGAGCTTTCTTGTCCATCAACACTTCCAGTTTAGCAGGTATTTTATATAGTATTTGTTTCATGTGCAAAACCCAAGAGCCTTAGAGAACACTGGCACCATTTAACCCAAATGTACAATAGTAGATCTCTCCCTACCTGCCTGGGGGTAGAGGCTGTTTCTGACATTGACTGATTGAGACAAGTGCTCTACTGCTAATAAAGAAATAATTTGTTTGTCAGCCTAAGCAGAATATTTTATTTTAATGTGAGCTTTCGTGAATATGTCTGCTTCCTCACATGCTTGTCACCAAAAAGACATTTATCTTTTGCAGAGAGCCCACTATTCACCTGCTTCTAGTGTATTTAGCAAAAATGGCCAAGGACAGGTGTATAGTCACTCCGTGGAGGAGTTAGTTCTTAGAAGCCTGAGCAGTCTAGGAAAAAGGGTCCCCATCCAAGTGGACTTGTCCATGAAATCCCACATGAAAATATAGCAGTTAGTCTTTGAAGTGCCACAAAGTTTTTGACTTCTTTATTTTTTCTTTCTCTTTTTTTTCACCAAAATGGTAAAGATTGTTATGAATTAGTCATGAGATTCATTGAGTCACAATCCGTATATTTCAGAGCTGTCCTTAAATGTTAGCAACTGGCAATTCTTTGTTTTAAACTACTCTCCTTACATTTGGCACAAGTCTAGATTGAGCAGATGATTCTGTCATTTATGCCTTCAGTTGATTTTTCCAAAAGTGCAGGCTCTGAAATTGTTCTGAGCTCCTGAATCAAGGGGGCAAAACCACAGTCAGGAATTAGTCATTAAGAGAGAGAAAAAATGAAGACCATAATCTTGTTTTGCAGAACAATACAAGAAGGAAATGCCTGTAAAAAAAAAATAAATAACTTCTATATACAGAGGAGAAATAGTTTATGGGTTGTCTTTTTATTCCCAATGAATGTTGATATTTTCCTAAGAAGGAAGTTTATCTGCATAAAGAGTAAACTAAAAAAACCTGCATCTTTTCTTCTAATAATTATAAATTTGTTCATAAAACACTGTAATAAACAGTTCAAAAGTTTTTTAATAGCTGCAGTTTTTCTAGCAGACTAAATTAGCTGCAAATCTTTGAAAGATTTTAAAGCAGTTTCTTACTATGTTCTCAAATTAATATATAATTACCTGGAGAAGATAATGCATTTTCTCTTATAAATATGATATATAATATATTAGGGGGGGAAACTGGTTGTTTTTCTCTGTTGGCTTAGTTGCTAAGACAGTCTGGTTTAAGTTAGTATCCAGTGGGCAGAACTTTGAGTCTGTTAATTTTCTCCTGTTGGGGTTGGGGTGACAGGATTTTGAACATGACTCAAATTGTGTGCATCTATATGCATGTACACAGGAAGAAGTATCTTTCAACACTCTGAACTATTGGCTGCCTCCAGCTGCATATGACGAAGAATAGGATTTGTTTTCTCCCTTTGTTCTTGGCCTTTTATTTGTTTTTATTTCATTTTGCCTATTTCCTCTTAGCATGGAACAAGGGAAGATGTTTTTCTTCATTGGAATTATGATGGCGATGATCCAAGGAGGTTACACTCGCCAAATTAAGCCAGGAAATGAACTAAAGACTGTTAAAATGGTACATTTCTGTGTAGCTTTTAAAAATGTCTTATTTTTTCCATTTGCCTCATACATTTTTTTAAATTTGTTCAGAACAAGGTACTTTTTCTTTCATTTAACTCTTAACACTGATACCTTTACCTCTACTTGTGAAGTCTTTAAAAAGAAATATCTTATTATGTAGCACATATATTGAAGTCACCAATTGCATTTTTAAAAAGTAGAATGAGTTGTGCCAGGCTTGAAACTCAAAGATCTCATTTGACCTCTACTTCATTATCTGGTAATGCAACCCCTCAATTCAAGAAGTGGAGGCAGAAGATTTTTTCATTACATTGACCCATGGGGTATTTACTTTTTACATATGTTAGAAATTTATCCTATGACAGTGGTCTGTAAAGCAAATGCTGAAACTTGGTTAAATTTATCCATAGACAGTCTTTGTATTGACAGAATTGGTTCTGATCACTTCATCATATTAGCTGTGCCCTCATGCAGAAACGTTGGTGGCACAGCTGCAAATGGGTAAGGAGCTGAAAGATAGAATGGAGAGTACTATTTTATAGATCCTTACCCATTTTCAATCAGGATTACTGTTGATGGGACAGGATAGAATATAAATGGCAATTTGCCTTTCAGACAACTTCCTCTAAATTATTCTTCCTTGTAAGGTTTGTTTAATAATGAGCTCTTTAAAGCTGGGTACTTTAATACTTTTGGCATTCGGTATGTTAGACTGGGAACTGACTCAAGGGCTTGAATACACAGGAAAGCAAGCATGGTGGTGGGCATGAAGGCAAGGCTGTGGTTAGACTAAAGCAGGAGAACGGAGAGCTGTGGGAAATAGCCAGGAAGAGCAATTTTATTTTTAACCACTCTATACTATATGTGGAAGGTTGTCCATCATTTTGAGTATAATGTTGAACTGCAATTTCCAGTTCTAGTAGCTGATCTCGAATTATTCTTTCTTGGTTCAAGCATTCTGTGAAAACTGAGTTGGCCACATCCCTTAAAGTCACTGGCTCCCTAGCCCAAGTGGCATCTGGACCTTTTCAAGGTGGTACTTTGTCCAGAGAGTCAGCTTTGCCTGCTCCCTTTCTCTGCACAAGAAAAGTAAGGGTGGACACAGTTTGCCATAGCTTTGAGAACTGGCTGAGTTGCAGACCCATCAAACTCCTGAAGTGCCCACTGACTGCACTTTGCTTCCCACACGCCATTCCTACCCATAGATCTTTGGCAAGGTGTCGGTTAGTGAGGTAACCTCTACAAAACAGACAGGAGACCACATTGGGCCATCTGAGGCCTGTGAATAGGCCGTTCATCTCTCTAGGCGCCAGTCAAGCGCTCCTCTTTAGCTGGTGCAGTGTAAGCACTGAGTGAATTTCAGCAGCTGAGCAGAGCAGGGGACAGCTGGCAGTAGCTTTGAGAATCGTATTTTTGATATTCAGTGACCTGCTGTCAAAATTAACAGGTCCGAAACAACAGGCTTTAGATTCTCACTATTTGTGTAAGACTTTTCATATTATGAATAATGAGATTTTTTTTACTAACCCCTCCCCTGTCTTTCTTTTGGCAGGCAATAATGCTGTTGGCTCCCGCTTTCCTTTTAATTGGCTGGGGTGCTAATGTGGTCATCCTGAGCATAGGACTCTTATTCTACTCTTTTGGTGAGCAGCTCTCTGACATGGAAGCAGAATGAAGCATTCTAAATCCACTGAATAGATTTCCAAAGTTCATTACTGTAGATGTCTTTAGGTTTCAAAGCTGCTTTCCACACTTTCAAAACCTTGGAGGAACTGTAGCACAGTTTATTCTAATGTTAACAACATTCCTAGAAGTTGCCATGGTGATGTTTAGAGATGTATCACAGCTTATGCTGGATCTTTCCATGGCCTGAAGCCAATACATAATCATTTTAATCAGCAATCTTGCCTTGGCATGTTTCTTTAAAAAGGAAATTTGCTGTTCTAGAAATTGATACTTCTTGCACATTAGACATTGGGAAACAAGTCAAGGAGACTTATATGATCAGTATGTAAAGGTATAGGTGCATCTAGACAAGGAGGCTGTCCCAGGTTGATTCAAGTGAAACTGAAGTTTCCTGTTACAATTAAATTGCTATTATAATTCACATGGAGTATTTAATTATCCCAGGCAATTATCGAGGCAAGCGTCCGCACCATACCACAAACTGCTACAGTTCTCATCAGGATTGCAGGTCACCCATTCTCCATTGTCCTATTTCCTGCTTCTATTTAAAAAAAAAAATTGCCAAGTGACAAATATATGAATATACCAACTTGTGAATTTGCCATGCTTGCCTGACATTGTGGTATGCTTGAAGAGCATAATTTTAAAAAATTGTTCATGAGAGACAAGAGGTGCTCAGTTGAGGGCAATGTTCTGAAGTGATGTACCAGCATACCCTGTAGAAGGGCGCAATATGTCAGTACAATGGGAACATTCCTGTCCACTGAGTGTCTCTTGTCTCTTATCCAAACAGTTTCATGAAAATATGCCTTTTTGTTGTTCTTTAAGATTCCCCACCATTAATGTCACTCAATGAGACACCCACCATTGTTCCTTTGGACTGATATAGGCAATCAAACATGCTGGAAGCTGGGGAAAAAAGGTAATGCAAATGGAATCGCTACAAAAAACACTAGCCCAACCAGCTGACCTAAAAGCAATGAAAGTCCATGAAAAAGTATCAGGATTACTCATAATTAGCTATATGTCATGTAATCAAAGGAAAATACAATTTTAACTGAGCTAATTCTGGCACCATCAACCATCAGGTAAACTGCAGTGTAATCATGCCCAGAACAGGTGCCATCAGTGACCTACAAGTGTAAACGTGGGTTAAAACTCCAGCAGAATGCACAAAGGTTCTGGCAAATGGTAGTTTTTCAGATGGCCACTGAAAATTTCAACCAGCCTTTTCATTTGCATCTTAATCCCTGAGTCAACATCGTCCCAAAGTCACACCAACAGCTGCCACATTGTTTTCCAAAAGAAAAGCAATCCAGGAGGATTGGTCGAGTTTCACTTAGAATGTAAAGTTCAAGAAAGCTTCTCCATGGAAATCTGTGAAGTCCATCTGTTGCAATAATTCTTGTAAAACACTGAGATTCACTGAAAAGCTGCTCTCTGCATGTGCAGGGTCAGGATCTGGCCTGAAGCTGCTCAGGGTCAGTAGAGGCAGCATGCTTAACATTTGACCTACCTTTTCTCTGTTACCTGGATCTGAAGATGTTCATATACATAGAGGAGCATATGACCCTCTAAATATTGTTGAATTCTAACTCCCATCAATCCTAGCCAGTCTGGCAAGTACTGAGAGATGAGAGATGTAGTAGTTCATCAGCATCTGCAGGTTTCTCACCCCTTGTATTCATGCTTCTTTGTCCACGTAAGGAACCCTGTTGCTTTTGCACACATATAAGTTAGGTATTTCCCTGACCTATATGTATGTAAAACTACAGGTCCTATAGCATTTGCCAATTTATACCCACACCAGCCCAAGCTGACTGCCCTGTCCTTCTTAGATTGGAAGGCATTCTGCCTGGTAGATTTCTCCACAGGGCATTGCTTCAACCTCAAGATGTCTGTTCCAGATCTTGATTGATATCTGAAATTAAGAAACGGTACCCCCTCATTTTACTCTCCTTCCCTTTTTAATTATTTCAGCTTTTCATACATGCCACTATGACTGTCATAAATTATCATTAGTTTTCTTATTATATAATCTTTGGAATCATAAAAGTGTATGTTGTACAACTTCTCAGATGACTAGAAATTACAAGTCAGAATGAAAGACAGAAGAGATTTTTTAAAACAAACAAACATGAAAGACTAACTGCTATATTTTAATATGAGCTTTTGTGGGTAAGTCCACTGCCTCAGACTATGCCAACTCTGGCACAAAATGCTGAGTAAATTGCAGTGTAATCTGTATTTGTCTGTTCAACTTCTCCCATCCAAAGATTTACAAAAGTGAATATATTTGTGTGTGCATGCTATCAGATGTGCAGTTGTTATTTCTGCAAGAACTGTGTTTGGCTTTGCCGAAATGACCTCACTAAGTCATGGTTTGATATGGCTTTTTGCTATCCTTTGCAATCTACGATCTGTGTTCCCACTTTATTAATGACATTAAACAGTATAATTTTTTGATTTGCTTCTAGCTTCTGCGGTTGTCGTTCCTTGTTTGTCTACAGTGGTGTCTAGTTATGGTAAGTTTCGACAGTCCCCTCCCCAATTAGAAATAAATGCCTCCCCATTTCAACAGTGTCTTGACTCATTAAAGCTGGATTTCTCTCAGATTTGTTTTTCCTCCATTGAGGATGGTTTGTACTAAAAATCCAAATAAATTCAACATTGCCTCATCCAGTGTCCTGTTATATACGACATACTCAAGACTCTAGCTGTAGTGCAAGCAAAAACAAGCATTTGGAATACCATTAGTATTGAGTGAAAAATGTTTCAGATATATGTAACGTGTGTTTATAGATATGGGACTTAAAATGTTTATTTCCATCTGTGTCATGACAATGACAGCTGCAGTTATGGTGGGCTAGAGCTCATTAAATTTTCTATAAATGAAATTGCTGATAATTGCAGATGGAAACTACTGCTCCATTTCAACATCTTGTATGTGCATCAGTGAAGATGAAAGTTCAAACTAATGCTATGAGCTAGCAAATGTGTTAACCAAACAGTAGTTCAAGCAGAAATTGCATTTGTCTTACTTGTTTATCCTAGGACTTAGCATTCTTATCATGAGCAACTATAGTTCCAGAGCAGATATGAGGGATTCCAGCTAGTAGAATCTTAATTCTGAATCCTAGCAGAGAAACAAAGGCACAATAGGAAATGGACATGAGGTGACCCATTACATGTTGGATACACAAAGAAAGAGGGATGAAAAATTATTTCACACACATTCTTTTTTCATAAAAACATAGTTTAGAAAAATATCCATTGTGATTGACCTAGTTTTACCTAGACTATTCAAGATAGGAGAATGAGATAGAAATAGTTTGGATGTTTGTATAAGCAGTATAAACATGCTGTAATTATTGGAATTCTTCAGAAATGGGATAGGAGAGGCCGGTGCTTGTGTTCTGTTTCACCAGGTGGTTGCCTAGTGGCAGGGCCAGGATCTGAGCTGAAGATGAAGGGTCAGTAGGAGCAGCAGGCTGAACACGTGGCCAGCCTGCCACTTTTGCCTGCAGCCCCCCTCATTCAGTAGCTTTTTGCCACCACCTAGCACACTAGGGGAAATATGAACATGCACATGGCAGCTTCTGCACAACAAATTTAGCACTCAGCTCCCAAACAGCTTGGCAGCTGTTTGGCAAGGACTTCAGCTTCTGAGGCTGCATCTGTTAACAGAAGAGCTCCAGCGTGTGGATTCAGTCACTTTCCTAGTTCAGATAGGGCCTGAAAAAGAAGAAACACAAATGCTGCCTACAATTTGCATTTCTTTTTTTCTTTTTGAAATGTCTGTCTTGATGCTGCTAAGGAGCATAACATGTAACAAATATTTTTCTCTGTTGTCCTGTTCAGTTACCACTTTCCTATTCATTGTCAAGACGAAAATTACTGAAATGTCCAACATTACAACAAGGTGGTGGTAGTGATGGAGGGACAGATACATACAGCATATAACATATTATTACAAATTAGATTGAACACATAATATTTAAAAACTATTATACCAAAAATAATTAAAGAAAAACACATAATCCAAAAAAAGAAATTTTCAAAGAAAATGTGTAGCCTCTGCTGCCGCCTTTACCATTGCCCAAAAGCTTGGCTAAAGAGAAAAGTGCTTGTGGGAGGACAGGAGACGGTGGCAAATTAACTTCTCACAACCTAGGGGAAATCACTGAATAGGCCCTCTATTGAGTCCTTGTCAAGTTTACCCATGAGAGTGTCGGGTCCAAGAAAAGGGCCTTCCCTGAAAATCTTAAAACTTGAGTTGGCTTGTTGGGGAGAAGTGCATCTTCGAATATCCAAATATACTGGGGAAAAGAATGATGTCCAGCTTATGTTTCCACAGGATTAGCAAGCCAAAAAGGAACACTCATGGGCACCTTGAGGAGTCTAGGGGCCCTTGGAAGAGCTATTGGACCAATCATGTCAGCAACAGGTAATGTGGAAGTGTGTGCATATACAGTATTTGCTGCTACTGTAGATGTTGTTGTTTTGGATAAATTTCACTTGGGAAAAGACTATAGAAAGAAAATTTTGTTTAATGTGAAACTCATACTGTGCATACCATGGGAAGAACAATAATCTTCAAACTTACCAGTGGGGAAAAAGCCATTTTAGAATTTGGCAATGTTTTAAAGGGGAAATGCTGCCCTCATTCTGAGTCTTAAATTTGGAAGTTTGCATTTCAGGGCCCTGAAATGCAAGCTATGAAAAGGAGGAGGAGCAGGAGATGGAATGAAAAGACTGTAAGAAATTAGTGAGAATACTGGAACTCAGCAGGTGGATATGTTAAGAGATAAAATTTTATTGGAAGAGAAACAAATGGCCAAGTAGGGAAGACGGGAAGGTAGCAGAGTGAAATGGAGCTACCGTGAAAAGGGAAAACAGCAGAGACGAAAAGAAAAGAAAAAAAGGGACAGAAAGGTCAGTGTTTACCCTGTGAGAAATGGCACAACACAGCAGTAGCTGCCAGCAGCAGCCTGGGAAACAATGGAACTGTCACTGTGGCTTAGAATTGAAGTTATTTATACTTGGTCTGTAGAGTTATAGCTGTTACTTATTTAATGCTGTTACTTACTAAAAACTTAAAGCTCAGATTTACAGAACTATCCTCCTTCAAGCTGACTATAGAACTCCAAAATATTACAAAACAACAGATTTGTAATACTCTGCAATTGCCCAAAAATAAAAGCAGAAACACTGTTTTTTCAGCAACACATTTTAATCTTTTTTTAACATTTGTAATTGCGGAAACTGCCTCGATATTGAAATGGGTTGTGTTTGTTACTGCATGTGGAACTGAACGTACTATAGCAATTACTTATGTTGTTGACTGGACAATTGCAGAGGTCTGAAATTCTTAACGGTTAGAGCAGTATGACAATGGAACCAATTACCTCAGGAAGTAGTGAGCGCTCCAAAGCTAGAGGCTTTTAAGAGGAAATGGGGTAACCATCTGTCAGATATCCTTTGATTTGTATTCCTGCATTGAGCAGGGGGTTGGCCCCTTTCAACTCCATTATTCTATGATTCTGTGAATGTCAATTAACAGAGCTGTCATAAAGCTTGTGTTAAGCAGGGGTAACTACAGGAAACATCCTAGAGGATCAAGTTATACTTTCAGTCCTTCTGTATTTCTCATTGTACAATTTTAGAAGCTTAACTGAACAGTTGTTTTCCTGGATAAATGTAATGTGCTTTCAGGGCTAATCCAGGACCTTAAAAGGTATTCTTGGATGGGAGCAGAGGAAGCAGTACCCACCGCATTTCAGGGCCTTGAAATACAAATTATGAAAAGTAGGAGTATCTGATGTAAGGGTTACATTGGATAGAAACGAAGGCTGCATCTTTTGGAAATGGCAGGGATACTCTCAGTTTGGTACTAACTGTGTATCACAGAGGCTATTTTGCATTAAGATCACGTGTTTTATGGTCATTAAACAATGTTCTGAAAAGCATGGCTTTTGTTTTCATTCCAGTATACTGGCTGGCAGGAGCTGAAGTTTGTTTCACTGTTTGTGCCTTTTTGTTCTTGCTCCCCTTCATCCTGCTTCGAAGCATTCAAGACCAAATGAAAAGCGAATAAGTTACTACTATTTTCTAAGAAACTCTGAAAATAATGCTGAAGCTGCTGGGCAAGAAGTGCTTTATGGAACATCGTATTGTTATGGAATAGCATATTGTATTGATGTTCTAGAAAATTAACTCAGCTGTCACTGAGCACTCTTTTGAACACCATTTCCTGGAAAGCATTGAATTTAAACATAGGGCTCTCTTAAATTGTTTTCTTCTGCACTGTGATGAAGACCTCCAATGGAGAAATTTCAGATGCTGCCATTCTGCAAAACGTTTCTGCAGAGAAACATTTGAAGAAAACAAAAGTTTGTGAAAGAAAGAAATGTGAAGTGTCCACAGATGAATGGTAGACACATGGTGTGTCATCTCTTTACAGATAAGAGAGCATAGTTATATCAATAAGGAGTGGGTGTACATTGGCTTTTCCTACCTTGGTACTCTTCAGGTGTGTTTAGACCACAACTCCCAGAAGATCCTAGCTAAGCATCTGTGAAACATTTCATTGGCATGCATCTGCCAAGAACAGGGAAATCTGTCTGTGTGTATTTTAACCATGAAATTCGTCTCTTAGTTTGGCTTTAACAAACTGCATATTGGTATAGTTGTCTGGCCCTTCTGATGTTCCACTGCATTGCTCATCACCCCTAGACATATTCCAAATAGTGAGGGATTATGGGAGTTTTTGTCTACATATCTGAAGGACCACATTTAATTTTGTTTTGTTTTTTCTCTTCCTGTTCCAGTTTTTATATTTTTTTAAATATTGTATGCCATCTATTGAGGTCCTATTGAGGAGAAAGGCAGGATATAGATGTTATAAATAATAATAACAATGTTCTCTATCTCTGCCTCAAACCAAAGATCTTAATGGAAAGCCAGAAAAGTATGCGCACATGTGTCTTCTACATGACAGCATGAGTAAGCAGATGAGTTGCAGTTGTTCCTTATACTTGTAATATGGATTACCTTCAAATGAGAATGTACAATTAGTACTAATTAACTGGCTAAGTTTAATGCTGTGTTTTTTTCCATGGTTATGGATGTATTTACATAAAAACCTGTTTTGTATTCCTGATATTTCAGTACATGAAATATTTTTTCATTAGATTTATTACACCAAGAAAGTAGAGAAAGATATGGTTTACATGTTTACTATTGTTCATTTCTACAACATATAGAGATTGCAGGTTTTGGCTGCAACAAATATAGGCCTTTGTGTACTTTTTAGGCAACCTAGGATTCAAACCTATCGTGTGATGCCTCTCTGGATTAAAATATGCCTTTTTTCTGAACACATGCAGACAGAGAAATCCACACACTTCATTCATCTGCTTTTCACATGATTTTTTTCTCATGTGATTGTGTGCGTGTGTGCATGTGCACAAATACACACAGACACACTACTAAAGAAAAATGTTTAAGAAGCTCTGACTTCTCTGAAATTCACACTTTCTGGCCTAGATAATAAACTCCAAGATACAAGGGCAACATTTGGCTTTGTTGTTGTTGTTGTTGTTGTTGTTGTTGTTGTTGTTGTTGTTGTCGTTGTTGTTGTTGTTGTTGTTGTTGTTGCATACGGCACATATTGACAGGCTATTTCACATATTCCAGAACTGAGTTACAGAACTACAATGATGAATTAAAATTCATTCTCAGAGCTGAAAGTAATTTTGAGGGGAAATTCCCAAGCAAATCCTCTTATCACCAAATCAGTCACTTGACAATTTAGCACTGTATTTGTTAATGTAAATAAAATACAGTGGTGCCTCGCTAGACAGTTACCCCGCATGACAGTTTTTTCGCTCGATATTGACTTTTTGTGATCGCTATAGCGATTCGCAAAACAGTGATTCCTATGGGGCAATTTCGCTGGACAATGTTTGGTCCCTGCTTTGCAAACCGATTTTCGCTAGACAACGATTTTGACTGCTCCCTCCGCGCTCACAAAACGGGTGTTTTCGGGACATAAGCTTCGCAAGACTGCTATTTAAACAGCTGACCGGCGGTTCGCAAAGCGGCTTTCCTATGGCCGATCTTCGCTAGACAACGACGATTCTTCCCCATTGGAACGCATTAAACAGGTTTCATTGCATAAGGAAATGCTTTTCGCTGGACAGCGAATTCAGTGGAACGGATTATCGTCTAGCGAGGCATCACTGTAACTGGAAGTGATTTTCAGAAATTAAAGATCCTGTTCCCTCAAACTGCCTCACAACAAATAAGATCCCAAGGGAAACACTGCTGCTGTTGAGGTCATCTGTCTTACACAGCGTAAGTTAAATCAACAGGATTCCAACTACTGGTTAATTCAGCTGAACCTAGTTGTCTTACACACATGTATTCCGCTGATTTTGCACGTATTTAGTCATACACTCTCTGATACAACTGTTGCCTAACTTATATCATCACACAATGGTTAATTTGAAGTGTAACTAATCCACTCTCACATTTCTGAAACTCAATTTTTCTCCCATAAAGGAGCACAACATTGGTGGTGTTTGGAAAGAGGGTCCCTTTGGGAAGCAGTACCACCAAGGATGGCCTTTTGGAATACAGCTGGCCAGGTGCTGTATGAGGCTTGGGTCTACTATGTGTCTCAATGAAAACACCTTGCGTGGTAATATTATTTCCAGCTTTTGTAACATCATACATCTTGGGCCTACAGTATTGTTTTCATTTGTATGTACCAAAATGTCAACTGTAAAGTATAGTATGTTTTGTGTTATGCTGATTTTTTTTTACAGCCTTATTTCTCTGAATAATTTTTTTGGTTTTGTTTTGCAGATGTTATGTTGTATTGTTCAAAAGTGCCCCTACTGGATAAACACCTCAATGTAGTAAGGGGGCTTGGGTATGTCAGGGAAGCTGAGAGCAATGTTGTCAGGGGGTTAGGCTCTGTTACACATCCGAGACTCCTAGCAAGGGCACTCTAAGGACAAGGGTCACAGTTGAAACACTAGACTAAAATGCATCCTTCCTCTTCTGAAAACATCCATTGTAAAAGCAGAAGAGATGTAATAGTTTCATTTCAAGAGGCACCAGCAATAGTGAAAGGTGATACTATCAGAGGATCTTGTGTATATACTGGCAGTGATACCCCATATAACTGGTTAGTAAAGTAAGAGTAAACCCTTACTTTACTAACCAGTTAGTAAGCTAACTGGTTAGTAAAGTAAGAGGACAGAGCACAGACTGCTGTCCTCTGAAGCTGCCGGCCACGGAGACTGGCGAAACGTTAGGAAGAACAACCTTCAGAACACGGCCAAAGAGCCCGAAAAACCCACAACAACCATAAGGGTAAACCACTTCTGAATATTTTATACTTTTGGATAGCTCCATAGCTGCAGAGCTAGAGGCTGAGAGTTAAATTCCAAACTCTGCCTCCTTGACAGGGGCTGGACTGAATGCTCCACAGGGTCCCTTCCAGCTCTGCAGCTCTAAGATAATTATGATGATAAAAAAAATCCCACGATGAAATAAACTGAAATGAAATCATTGAGCATGCTGGAAGATGAAACTTCCAAGTCAGAAGGCACTCAAGCAGCTACTGGGAGAAAATGAAAGACAAGTATGAATGGCAACTGGATTAAAGCTGAAAGAGCATCTAGTTGCCTGTGTGCACAACGATAAGGAAAATCCAATGCTTCACGTCAAATATAATAGGAATGTTGAATATGAGTAAAGGTAAACTTGAAACTGTAAAGCAAGAAATAGAACATTTAAACAGTGTAGTACTTGGTGAGATCATGGCCACTGGTCCCATCACTTCCTGGCAAATAGAAGGGGAAGATATGGAGGCAGTGACAGATTTTACTTTCTTGGGCTCCATGATCACTGCAGATGGTGACAGCAGCCACAAAATTAAAAGACGCCTGCTTCTTGGGAGGAAAGCGATGACAAATCTAGACAGCATCTTTAAAAGCAGAGACATCACCTTGCCGACAAAATTCTGCATAGTCAAAGCTATGGTTTTTCCTGTAGTGATGTATGGAAGTGAGAGCTGGACCATAAAGAAGGCCGACTGCTGAAGAATTGATGCTTTTGAATTGTGCTGGAGGCGACTCTTGAGAGTCCCCTGGATTGCAAGGAGAACAAACCTATCAGTTCTGAAGGAAATCAACCCTGAGTGCTCACTGGAAGGACAGATCCTGAAACTGAGGCTCCAATACTTTGGCCGTCTCATGAGAAGAGAAGACTCCTTGGAAAAAGCCCCTGATGTTGGGAAAGTGTGAAGGCAAGAGGAGAAGGGGACGACAGAGGATGAGATGGTTGGACAGTGTCATCGAAGCTACCAACATGAATCTGACCAAACTCCAGGAGGCAGTGGATGACAGGAGGGCCTGGTGTGCTCTGGTCCATGGGGTCATGAAGAGTCGGACATGACTAAACGACTAAACAACAACAACAATATGAGCTATAAATAGAAGTACTGGATTGATTCCCTAGAATAAGCCCCAGGCTTGACTTTGCAAATGAGAGAAAAGAAGGAGGCTAGATGCTGCTTTTTCAGGCCCTTCAAGGACAGGATGATTGAATAAATAGTCATGGTAAATAATCAGTATATATTCTTTGTTAACTATTTAGCCGACATAAGGAATTTAGGGAAGTCTTCAGAAACTAATAGAGGAAGTACAAATAAGGGAGTTATCTTCTACTGACAAGAAGATTGAGTGATTAAGCTCAGCTAATACAGTGGTACCTCGATTTACGAACTTAATCCGTTTTGGAACGACGTTCGTACGTCAAAAAGTTTGTAAGTTGAAGTACCATTTCCCATTGAAATGCATGGGAATGGAATTAATCTGTTCCAGCATTTCAAAGTCAAAAAGGCAGGGGGAAAGGGCTGGAAATTTTAATTTCCTGCCCTTTTGCCTTCGGAGCTCTTAAAGGGCTTCCTCCGATGTCAGAGGGAAAGCCCTTTAAGAGCTCCAAAGGTGCCAATCGTGGGAGCAGGGACCCCCAGGGAGGTCTCCCATGGTGGCAGGCAAGCCCTGGGAGACCTCACTGAGAGTCCCCACTGCCACGGCAGGCAAGCCCTGGGAGACCTCACTGGGAGTCCCCACTGCCGCGATCGGCGCCTTAGGAGGTCTCAAAGGGCTTTCCCCTGACATCGGAAGAAGCTGTTTGAGACCTCCGAAGGCAAAAAGGCAGGGAGAAAGGGCGGGAAATTTGAATCTCCAGCCCTTTCTCCCTGCCTTTTTGCAGGGAGCCATTTACGAACGGCTCCGTTTGCAAAAAATGGCATTGACTTGCGAACAGAGACTCGATGCCCATTTTTGCCAATGGAGCCGTTCGTAAATCGAAGAGTTCGCAAGTAGGGACATTCGTAAGTCGAGGGTTGACTGTAATGAGGAAAATGTATGGGTCAGTAAAAATTACCACAAGAAGGTTAAGAAAAGGGGAACATGTACCAAATAAGGATAAAATAAATAGGAGTCTGGGGTCTAGTTAATATGGGGAATGGGAGATGAAAACAGGTGGGACTTCACATGATCAGTTTAGGTATACCGGATAGGCTGCACACCTTGGAGTACTTAATCAATGGCGAAACAAGGGAGGGACCATACAGCCAGGAATAGGGAATAAATATCAAGCTATTTGTATTGATCATTGTGCCTACCTGGTTAGGACACCCACTTTTACAAAAGTGCTTTTTAATAAAGGATTGCTGTTTGAATTTGTGGTTGTCTGGTTACTGTATCAAATAACAAGGGTGTGTTTCTCACAATTTGGGGGTCGTCCGGGATCCGAGTCTCATTGTAGCAGGTCACCACCAAGGAAGCGAGAAGATGCACCTTCTTTCATTGGACCGCAGCTCTGCAGACAGAACTGGCAATGTATGACACCATGGTGAAGCAGACAGGGAGAATCTGGTGGGCACAAATAGAGGCAACCAGGCAATTCCATGCATGGACTAAGGTAAAGTGGACTGTTAAGTATTAGTATTACCTTAAGGGTTGGAATTGGGACTGATTGACAGCGTGCATGAAATGTGTCTTGGACATGAAGTGAGTGTGGAGTCTTGATCCGCGCTTCTGTTGTATCCACAAGGAGCAGAGCCAGAGACAGACGAAGCAGGTGCATCTCTGTTGAAAGACATCTCAATGGGGAATGGAAATTCAAGGGATGGACCAGGGAAAGAGAATATCCAGGGGAGAAAAGGCCTGGAGATAGACATTCTGCCACACAGTCTTTAGGCGTGATGTTGAAATGTTGGCACTTGAGTGAAGTAACCAGGGGCAAGGATAAAAAGATGATAAATTATTGTTGCTTTGTTTGGACTAAGGAAAGTATTAGGCCACCCACAGTGTTTTAGCCAAAGTTTGGGGCCTTTGAGAGTTGGATCTGCCAAAATCTGAATGCTTATGTGAGGGGAAAACAATCAGTAGAACAGGAGTAGATAGATTATGCATCTTGTTGGGTAGGAAGCTGCTCAATCCTCATGAATCTCTTGAAGGCAGAAGAGGAGGAGGAAAAAATAGAGAAATGGGACCCCTTAAACAACCCCCCTCCTGAGCAGGGCAAAATTGAGCAGCACTTCTGGAGATTGCTTATTCACAGGACTGCCATATGTCATAGGTAACGTAACTGCACCTAACATTTCATGATACTGCTAGGGAAGGCCAGTCCTTCAGTCCAGTTCTGACATGCAGTGTACAGCTCTCTACCACTGAAACACTCTAGTAGATGGTAGGCAGTGGCAGACCTCTCTGCTCAAGAGGTTCCAATATATAATTCAGATAGCTAATAAACACTAGTAAGTCTCGGACTCCATGAAAATGTCTCACCTTCTTTCAAAACAATATATTCAAATATGCATGGCATTCTGGCTAAAATCCTTTTGGCACAACTTAGCATGCACAAGCATCAGGTCTGATCTTTCACCACTGATTAAGTTCTGTCAGGGGTGGCTCAAGACTTCCTGATCTTCACGACTATGGGTCTCTTCCAAATGGCATTTGCCCTCACCCATGCTGCAGGTCACACTTTGCCGCCTAGAGTGGTCGAAATGACTAGATAGGCGGGGTATAAATAAATAAATAAATAAATAAATAAATAAATAAATAAATAAATAAATAAATAAATAAATAAATAAATAGTCATATTCTATGCTGGTGTAGATGCTGGTGAACTGGGTGTGAAGGAACTTTCTGTAGTTCTACTGTCATGGACAATTATCTGGTGCAATTTGGACTCACTGGTATGCAGAGCCTTTGCAGGGATGGGGTCAAACTAAAGCAACCTGCCCCAGAAGGTTGATGGAGCCAAATGGTTTCCCGGTTGCCCTTGGGAACCAGGAAACCAGGAGCCCCTATGTCTCCTCAGCAAGTGACTCTGTTGAATCCCTGGTTGATCTCTGGAATGGAGAAATGGCAAAAGCCATTGACGTGATTGCTCCAAAACATCTCCTTCCACAAAGTAGAGGCAAACTGGCCACCTGGTGGTAATGAAACAAGTGGATCGTAGATTTGAGTGATGATGGCGTAAAACATGGAGTGAATCAAACATGTGCTAGGGTCCTTTGGAAGGCTTATTCCGTATCAATGGAAGTGAAGAAGTCTTTCTTCCCTGTAGCCATAGTATCTGCACAGAATCATCCAGCAGTTTTTTTTTGAATGGCCAAGGGCCTGCTACATGCTAGCCCCCAGGACGATAATGCTCAGATCCACTCCGAGTTGGATGCTGTAGTTGATTCAGGCCCTGAGAATGTTACTATGCCCCCTTGGTTGCCGAGGGAGATGAGTTTCAGGTGCTGTGGCCTGATGTTGTAGTTAGGACCATTGGAGAAGTGAGGGCTACCATGTGTCTGCTAGATCCTTGCCCTTCCCGGCTCATAAAAGCAGCGAGAAAGGGGGCTGGTTGAGTGGGTAGGAGGAATGGTGAATGCCTCCTTGCAACAAGGTAAGATCCCTGCATGCTTAAGGGAAGCAACAGTAAGACCATTATTTTAAAAGTCCTATTTGGATCCCACAATACTGAATAATTACCAACCAGTATCTAATGTTCCATTCTTGGGGAAGGTGCTAGAACAGGTTGTGACCTCTCAGAGGTTTCTGGATGAGACAGAGTATCTAGATGCATTTCAGTCTGGCTTTAGGCCTGGTAATGTGACAGATGGCTTTAGTTGCCTTGGCTCGATGTACACTGGGAACTGGATAGGGTGTGTGTGTTCCTGTTGGTTTTGCTGGACCTCTCAGCAGCTTTTGATACTGTTGGATAGTAGCCTCCTGACCCAACTCTCTGGAATGGGACTTGGGGGCATTTTTTTACGGTGCCTCCAGTCCTTTCTGGAGGAGAGAATTCAGATGGTAGTGCTGGGGGATTCCTGTTCAACACCCTGACTGCTGACCTGTGGGGTCCCTCAGGGTGCTGTTTTGTCTCCTATGTTATTTAATATCTACATGAAACCACTGGGACTGATTGTCCGGAGTTTTATGGCTTGGTGTCACCAGACTTCCAAGGCTCCTTAAGAATCCCTTCTGCCTAGAGGGAAGCCTGTGGCGGTGTCAAAAAGTGTGTGTGTGTGGGGGGAAGTATTTAATGTCTGAAAACTGCTGCCATTAGTACCACCAGACATAGGGACTGGCAGTGTCAATTTTCAGACATTAAAGATGGCCCATTTCAAAAATCTCTGAAAGCTTCCCCAGGGCAAATTGATTGCTAGAGACTGTGGTGGAAGTGTTGAATCAGAAACTTTTAATTAACAATAGGAGACCAAGGTTAATGACATTGTGAGCTTTGCGCATGTGGCATAAATTTTCATGGATTATAGTCCATTGCATGAGATACATGAAGTGTTGCTTCAGTTGGCAATAATATATCTAAACTAAAATGAAAGGGAGCTCGTACAGGGGAACAAAATACATCTCTGAACAAATAAAGTAATTCCCAGATGAAGAGAGGTAAAAAGTTTGGGATCTGTTAAGAGTTGCATGCACATTGTGGTCCCCACCTGAATGCCATTGTCCATTTCTCACCAGCACTACAAGAGCAAGGTAAGACCTCTGGAATTTGTAACATACCAGTCTATACTTTGGGAAACAGTCTTGTGATATCATTATATACTAGACATCAGTCACCGGGGGGTGGGGGGAGTTTACTGACTCACATTTTTGGGAAGCAATTCTCCCTCCCCAGTGGGTGAAGCTGTATCAACACTCAAAAGTGCTTGGTAGCTACTCTGGAGTTTGAAGCCTGTGACAAGCTGAGATTATTTTGCTAGTTGCTTGGCTGTATCATAGTGTTGATAAGGATACATAAGGCTCCCTTCCAGTGGCTACGGATTTCTATGCACTGGCTGTGTTGGTCTAGCTTTTTTTGTAAACGCACTGAAACTACTTTTAAAAGATGATACAAGTCCTTCAGGAATCAAGATCATTTGAACATAGAAATAAGACAGAAATATATGTCTCTCCTCTAAAGAATTATATTCTATGTTAGAACTGAATGAAACAATGTGTATGTGTGTGTGTGTGTGTGTGTGTGTGAGAGAGAGAGAGAGAGATACAGGTCTTTACCCTGCCCACAGCTTTGTGTTATCACATCATGCCATAGCTAGATTTCATATATAATCAAAGAAATGACAAGAGCTACAAAATTAGAACTTAAACATCATTGTATATGTGGTCAACAGACAGAGTCCATACATTTTGTAAAGAAACATCAAAAGAATGACTTTTGTAATGCAATCCTGGCAATGAGACACAATTAAGCTTCTTAGTGTTCACAGGACACACAGTTAGAAAACAAGCTTAAAGCCAACAGTGCCATGCAATCTGTATAAAACATCATAGCTCAGATTTCTCTTTTTAAAAGTCCTCAATTTTTACTCCTCGTCAGTCTTCATATAGTGGAAGCATTACTGTCACCAGCCTTCATCTCTGTGTAACCCTTCTTTACTTATATTACTACAGGGGGAAAAGTTTATACTTCCATTTGGAACCTAACATAGACATTAGCCGCACCCAATTACTGAATTTATTCTGTTTTTCTGTACTTTTTAAAAGCACAAATAGTAAGGCATTCAACACTATCTATTTCACCAATCTTGAATTTAAAAACAACCAAAAACACACATTATCTTTAGATGGTGCAATATTAATTTCTAAGCCCAAGTTAATTCATAAAAACTAATATCATAGCTCCCTCTGACCTCAAGCAAAATGGGTTTTTTATAAAAATGAGCCAATTTTAAGTTGTGTAATTATTAACGTAAATGCATTATTAGATATTCACAGGCACAAAACTGTTTCTGCACTCTATTTTTAAATGAGTGAACCCAGAAAGGTAGAAAACAGCTAGCTTTAACAAATTCCAACAATGGGTTCTCATAAAAATGTCACATGATCTTGATTTAGCCACGGTCGGAAAATGACAGGGCCTTCAACCATAAAGGACTGCTCAGACTGCAACAGCAGCAACTCTAATGTCCTTTAGTGGTTGATATACATTTCAGCAAATACGTGACGTCAGAAAACATGCAAAACAAACTGCAGGTGTGGCAGGATTTTTTTTTATTCCTAAGGGCCTTATCTTCAGGTGAGGTTAAATACACTCTTTTGCTACAAAACAAATTAATAAAATAGCTGATTATTCTATGGGAAAGTTTACATGAAATGTATTAGAAAACAAGCAGAGGTGTTAGCAGGGAATACCAGAAGTTACTTCATTTTGTTTAGACATAACAAGTAGGTTTAAATCTCAGCTATGCTACAATACTGAGTAAAAGGGGAGAAATACATCTTTCTGTTAAGCCTTGGTGTAACAATATTTCTAATTACACAGTGCAGAAGCAGATGCTCAGTTTAACAATATAGTATCTCAGATTATAAATGCAGTCATCTCCAAGTACGTAAAACCACTTGCAGCAACCGTATGCTTAGAGATAAGCATAAAGTTTAGAGTTAGCAGATAGTAACATTCTCTTTTGCAGGACCTTGAGAAAAATACTTGCTTTCATATATAAAGCAACATGAGCTTTCAAAGTTACATATACTGGCTCACTATCTTCCACAGAAGTCACTTAGTTTTGTTTACATCAGGGTTGGAGAACCCATGGATCTCCAGATGTCCCTGTACTCAAATTCCATCATCTCTGCTAGCCTGGCCAATAGTGAAGGATGAGTGGAAAATGTAATGCATCTTCATGTGGAGGAACAAAGGTTCCCTCAGCTCTAGTATATCTACTAGGGATAAACCCTGGTGAGCTGCGGTTGCAGACCCAGGATTAGTACCTTCTGCTTGCTACTTGTTAAAGTTAATCATTCAAGCTGTAGCTTGAGGGCATTGCTTGGTCTGCTTTGTAATAAAGGACAAAAAGAAAAGATTGCTCTGTAAGATGTGACATACTCTACTGTTTCATAAACTTAGATTCTAAAACATAACAGCATTTTAAAGATCTTTAGGAGTCACTCTTCTTTTTGTTTTTCTTCAGGAAGGAAGGTGTACGAAATTTCTTCTTCTTCTTGGACGGAGACTTCCCAGGAGACTCATCACCTCCTGGTTCAGCTGTTCCCCCCTCCTCAGCCAGTGGGATCATTGTCTCTTCGCCAGGCTGAGACTGGGGCTCCTGGTTTTCAGAAGGATGCTCAGTCTGACTTTGAGTGAGATCCTTGTCACATTTCTCATCTTCTTTTCCAATGGCTGGGAAGTTGAGGGCTTCTGAAGGCTCATCAGGGGTGAGGTCTGGGAGGCTTTGCTTGAAGGTTGCAGCGTCACTATCGTCATTGTAGGCCTGGTTAGTCTGCCTCCCTAGTGGAGCAATCAACAAGAAATTTATGTTAAAAATGGGCCTGTTGCTTCAAAGGGCTCTAACCACCTCTAATGGGAAATCCATGTGAAAAGGGAAGCATTTGAGTCCCTATCTACTGGCCATCTTAAACTCTATCTTTCCCCCAATGCTTTCAGATTAAAATCCGATTGTTCAAAACTACAAAATAAATATATTTTTAAATGTGAAAAGTTCATGTAATAAAACTCTCATTCAGGGAGTTTCTTATGTGATTATTCATAAAACTAATAATAAAACTAATAATAAAACTAATAAAACTAATAAAACTAATAAAACTAAAACTAAAACTAACATCATCATCATCATCATCATCATCATCATCATCATCATCATCATCATCATCAACAACAACAACAACAACAACAACAACAACAACA